TGGCCATATTGCACGAAGACGAAGTTTGAGCACGACGACGTAGACGGAGTGCTCAATCGTCTGAGTGCGATACGGATAATTAACTCGAGTTGTACAGTATATTTTTTCTACGACCCACTAACAAAAACTACAAATTTTAAAAATTATTTTAGGTGATTAAGACAAAATAACTAATTCTACAATAATTTATGACTTTTACTAATTAATAAAATAAACATAAAAATACATCCTAGTATGACAGAATTGTCACTTATTTAAAATTTAAAATAATAATAGTAGCCAAATGACCAAAATATGAACTGTGATGGGTGGATTTCATTTTTTGCAGTGTTCTTACTAGGTAGAATAGATTATGAAATACATTCGTTCAGTTGAACGCAATGGCATACTTTTTCGTTTCTTAATCTGTGCGTTGAATAGCTAATATCCATGTGGGTGTAAAAGAACAACTTTATTTTACCAGTGGTGAGGCTAATGGTACAAAGTATCGATTGTATATTTTCATTTCCAAGCATTTTTGTGATTGATATATTTGACCACCAAATAATAAAAAATATTGAATCAAAACACTCACTTTAACCCAAATCATACAGGGTGTTTCAAAAAGGTATGTCATAAATTCTTCCTCAGATAGATTACCAAAAAATAAGTGTATTTGGCTATATTTACCTATATCAAAAACTGACTCCCAACAAAGTTACAGGGCGTTAAACTATCATTCAGAAAAACGTTTTTTTTTTGTAAAAAGTTTGCTGGTGCGACTTTTTCTTTGAAATTTTTGCCAGTGGTGTAGATTTGAAGGCCCAATATTCTAAGGAGAAAAAAAATTAAAGCGACCTTTAAAAAAAGTTGGGGGGTTGGGTACCTTTTAATCCCCCCGTATTTTTTTTTGACATAAAGAAACTTGCTTTATCGATCTTAAAATCAAAAAGAACTATAAATTTTTAAATTGTTGTATAGCTAAATGAACTCTGTATCTTTCTTAGTAAACGAGCTATTTACAATTTTTTAACTGAATTTCTAGAGCAATTCGTCCGTCCTGGACTTAACATATTAAAAAAACTAAGTGTAACTTTGTTGGAAATCAGTTTCTTTTGGTAATTTATCTGAGAAAGAATTTATGACATACCTTTTTGAAACACCCTGTATAATTCCTGAACAGCACCCATAGAAAATTAAGCACCTAAAAATAGAAATATCTGACCTTCAGTTCCACCGTAGAGGTACGCCGAGAAAACTAGTGTAGGAGAACAGGAACTGCAAAAACTGCATTTATTTCTATTATACTTGACACCACCATCGATAATGGTCGGCGTTTTGAAGAATGTATGTGATCCTCAATTCCTCCGTAGAGGTAATCTGAGAAAACTAGTGGATTTGTATTGTTCTCATCCCTTTTAAGTTTTTTTAATGAATGCAAAATTGTCAGTTAAAGTTGAAATATCTCGTTTAAAATCTGTATGTTAATGTATTAGAAACAAGTTTTTTTAATAACTTTTTCGTATTTCAAAAAAAGGACCTTTTTTAATAATTTAACAGATAACTAATGTCCGTAGCCAACTGTGATTGGACTATTTTGAGTTTTTAAATAATCAGTTATTTTGCCCTAGGACAAATTTTCCAATCGTAATATTAAAAAAATCCCTTATGGATCAAACTTTATGGTACACACTGTATATTAGATTAATAAAGTGTTGCCTGGACGTACACCTGATTTTATTCAGCGATAATCCTAGCCTATTATTGCTGTCCTTTCGCATATATTAGAAAAGATTCTTTGATGAATAAATGAACATTGGCAAACTTTTAGAGATTATTTTCGTTTTACTTCTGACATGTTTGTCAAAATGTGCGATTTTGAGTTTATTTTTTTTAAGTATAAGCGGAATAGTATATTTTTTAACTAGCAAGGACTAGTACTCATTTCCTAGTAGAACAGTATACTATCTCTATGCCTACTTTACTAGCTGCTATCCATTTTTAATCAGTTTTTACAATTTATTTCATGAAATGGGGATGACAGCTCTCTTCTAGATAATAATGTAATATTTGATATTTCATGGCACACATGATTTTATTAAAATAATTAAATGTCTGCTTTGTGTTATCTGATTCTCAGGATCTAATTCGGAACGGATTACTTTGTTATCAGAATCATGAAATAAGAAAAAGTGATTCATTTCTTTTGATTAACAATAGTTAAGAAACTTTTGTTATATAAGTATTTAGAAAAAATAATTTTTGTTACCATTATTAAAAATTATATTTAAAACTAAAAATTATAGTGTACGATAACTTATGGAGATGAGCCTATATTTAGTTTACCTATTATTTTTGTTTTATTGACATCATACTTATTGACAGTAACCTTAGCTAAAGTGTTCTTTATAGACACAGACACAACTAGAATTAAAGTTTCTAAAAGTTTTAACGCTATTTATAGTATGAAAAATGTCGCATGCACTTTGGCTTACCAATACGTATAATTTCCAGTTGGATTGATAAAAAAAATATTTCTAATACCTAAGCCATGGAAAAATCACTCAATCTCGGTCTTTATCGGTTATGGCTTACTTCAGAAACATTTTTTTTAATAACACGTTATTATTTTTAACAGTTTAAAAATCTCATCTAGTTCTATACCCATTTTGTGTTTCCTTTAAAAAGAACTAAACAATTCTTTCAGTGAAAATATTTAGGAAATACCTATAAATCGTTTACCTAGATAAAATGTCATGTTGCTGGTAGTGAAACCTACTAAGTATTAAAACATAACTAATAACTAAGTTACTATAGAAATTTGAGAGTTTCAATAAAAAACATTCAATTTAAAACATTGATGTAAATTTTATATTTATTCCAAAAACAAAATTACTTTAGGAATACCTATTACATGCTCCACAAACGTAATGACCTAGATTTGGTCAGTTTATAGCTTTTTATACGATTTTTTTACGTCCTTGTTATAACCCAAAACACCCGGAAAAAATAAAACCCATAAAAACCATCATGTACAGAAAAAATAGTGAAAAGGTCAGGCGAAGCATGCAAGAGGAGAGCGGAAAACCGCGCAAAACAGAGAAAGGGTACTTACAAACATCGAAAGACGCGGTCAGATATAAACTACTTTTGGATTATGGTCGGGGTACATACAGGCACAACACTACTAAAAAGGTTCAATTGAAAATTCTAAGCAAAAACCGAAAGATCAAAATGTCATCAATGGAGGCATGAAAAGTGGCGACGGTCTTTGCGATTCGCTACCGCCTACTAGATTCCCGATTCGGGAAACACAGCATCCCGTGTGAGTGACGTAACGTGCAAGGATAATCGATAGTAGCGCTGTTGGCGGCTACCGGCCGCTGCGAGAACTACCTAGGGTGAACGCCCTTCGCGAACTCACTCTCGTATCACGCCCTTGTGCAGGTCTGGAAGGAATCCGGCACACGTTGGTCTCCAAAACTAATTGTACAATATCAAAGAAAAAACTTTTTTACAACATATTTATATCAAATATGTTTTACAGCATTGCATGCAGTAGGTTTATTTACATTGATTAGTATAGGGAAGAATACAAAAAGCTTGCCATAGAATTGTTAATTGGACTTGCAAATGAAAAATTAAATTGAATTAATTTAAATTCATATTAACTTTACCAATAAAGGAATATCTGATCCACCTTCCTTCAACGTTATTGACAATGTTATTCGTTTTGAAAACACAATAAAATACTTGGGTATGACCATCCATGCGGAAGTCAAAAAGAAAAGGCTTCAACTTAGCAAAGAGTGAGTCATGAGTTGTTAATTCAAAAAATAAGAAAATTTGATTTAGGTGGAAAATAGATTTAAAAGCTATCTTCTTAATAAAACACAAAAAATCAAAGTAAACGTCACTAATCTCACGAGTAGGTAGGTATTATGTTACTTCTGAAATTCCCCAATGTTCCAATCTAGGACCTATTCTCTTCAATTTATATTTATCAACGACGTATCCTTTTATTTTCAGCAAAATAATTTCTTACTTTTTGCAGATGACCGCAAACTTTTCCAAATTGTCAACAACTTTGGAAATGCTATTGATTTACCCTCTAATAATTTATTAGAGGGTAAATAGAGAGTTACTGAAAGTTCAGTTAAGGTCAGTCACTATTAGCGCCGCTCTTATTTTGACATTTGAGCATACACAGATCATTTATATATTTTAGAACTGACTTTATTAAAGATTGTGCCTGTCCTTAATTATTGTGGATGTTTAACAGCACATAATAGTGACTTTATAGCTTTCTAGTGCGCTCGCCGACGTTCGTATCAGTTCGAAGTTTTTTAATATTAAATATTTAATATCATCGTCATCTAAACCTTCTAAAATTGGAGTTTTCAATGCCTCTTTCATATTATTCAAGAAGCCTAATAGTTGATGACACTGCTGCTATTAAAGCTCTATATTGTACTTCAGTTAGGAGACACCTTTATTAGTTATCTTTCCGCAGCAAGTAATCATCGTAGGAAAAAACTCAGAAAAACAACGATACTTTCTTATATTGTTAAAGATAATAAGAAATGTTCATAAAAAAAAACAAAAAATATCCACTATACCCCAGTAACTAACTAAAATGTTTTTACAATGCTTTTAAAAACTCTTAAACAAAATATGCAATTTTGGTGGATACATTTTTTCAAAATTTTGGTGGAGGATTATAAATTTTAATATTTTGTTTGGTTGAATACCCATATTAGATCGAGGCTATTTTGAGATATTGATGAATTTCTGAACACAACTATCCTGAAGATAGTCTCGGTTTACAGCACCATCTACACTACAAAGAACAAAGTACAAAATATAAATAAAGTTAATTTTATGAAGATTTGAAATCTGTGCTGTGCATATGAACAAATGTGATTTAAAAAAGGTTAAAAGGCACAAAAAACATACATTATTGTGAATAATTATAAAACAACCTTTTAAAAATTGAAAAACAGACTGACTTTGACAAAAAAGAACAAATATCTTGTCAATAAAGGTAATAAATAATAAAATGTTTGACAGAAAATTTAAAATAGTGAAAATGATTTGTTATTTTTAGATGTTTGAGGAAGGGAATCAAATCACAGTTGAAGAAGTTGATAGAGTTCTATCAGAAATAGAAAGCAAATACTCACCAGTAGAATGTGGCCCTATACACGATAGCTTTGAAGAAAATTTAGCCGTTTTATCCAAAGAGTTTGACTCAGTTGGAGTAGAGCCAATTGATTTAAAGAAACCTATTTCAAAAGTATTCAAGCAAGTGGTAAGTAGTTCCCGTTCTTTAGTTCAAATTCATAGAAGAACTTTGTCACAAATGAGAGATGTTAATATCACTGTTCAAACTAAAAATTCTAACAGCAACTACTTACGTAAAGTTGTAGATGATTGTAACACCAAAATAAATATGTATGAAGATAAAACTGGGATTTTACAAAATAAGATCTCAGTTCTCGAAGACAAAGTAACAGAACATAAAAAAAAGGAAACTGATATGAAAAATGAAATAGAAAAAATTAAAAGATATTGCAATATGAAAAATGGTGAATATTCTAGACATATCAGACAAGTTTCTGAGGAAAACAAGCGTCTTAAAGAATCTTTAGGAACTGACATAAATACTACTCACTCCAAAGATGAAGTATTACTTAAAATTATAGCGAAGTATAAAGCAAATGAAGAAATTTACAAAGAAACCATCCACAAGTTACAAGAAAATAATAGGCAACTTTTGGAAGAAGTAATAGACTTGAAGAGCAAAAGGAAATATTAGACAGCATAAGAATCTTAATTTTTGATCCTGTTTTAACTTATTTAATATTTTGTATTCATCTTTTAGACAATAAATTTTGTATTTTTCTATTTCATTATTTTATGATAGCTGTGCTCTAAATCAGTACCACCCAAAAATATTTTAATTATTCAAAAATAGGCTGTTTTGGCATAGGGGCTATCGTCAGGCCTAAAAGGAAGATAAATGTTGATATAACCCCTGGGCTGAAACCTGTAGCTTATTTTTGAATAAATAAATCATTTTTGTGATACTGATTTAGTCTTTTATTTTCATTTAAACTGGATTTTTCAAGCTTTTTTTTTTGAAAATTAATTAATTTTAATATCCAGCTACTTTAAAAATTCAGATTCTATAGAAATTATAGGAATCTTTTCTAATCGCCCCTAGATCGTAAGTATTTAACTAATATTTTATAACTAATAGGAGACTGATCTTTCTGCTGTAGTTACAGATATTGGTATAGTTAACTAGTGTGTTAACATACAAAAGGTTGTTCACATGAATTAAATTGCTCTTGCTTATAATATTTGCCAAATTTATCAATATTTAGTTTACAGATGATATAGTAAAGCATTCTAAAAACACGACCGTAAATTTTAATTCTTGATTTACATTGGCCGATTCTCACTTTCATAGGAAAATATATATTTTTTTTATTTTATGCCCCTTTTTAAATTTTCTTGATTTGTGAATAGCATCTACTTGTTTGTGATCTACTTCTAAGCAAGATGCTATACTTCTTTGGTATCTACAAAAATGTCATTGAAACCTTTATCTGATTCATATTTTTTTAAGAATTAAGTTTATCCAAACTTTCGCAAGTATACAAAATATTGAAATTCTTGTTTGACAGAATATATTATATTTTATAGATTCTACAAGACTATTATACATATTATTTCATCTTAGATGAAATCAGCACCACCTGATAAAGATTTTAATATCAATAATGTAAATGAACTTGTTTAAACTTGAAAATTAAAAACATATTTTTTTGTCTGGAATATGATACGTATATTGCTGTTTGGAAGTAATGCAGTAGTAAAACCACTATTTTTGATATCTGTTACAGGCGTATGAAATGGAGTAGTCGTGCGCCGCACGATTTTCAAATATGGCACGTTCCTGCAGACTGTCGAATGATTGTTCAGAAGTCCATCAAAAACCTCACTGAACTCAGTTACTTTTGTATTTGCAAATAATATTGCAGAATTTTTTTGAATTCAACTTTTCAAGCCTTTCAAATGAAGTGCTAAACAACTTGTCTTATTTAAAAACTTGAAGTGGTCGCTATCACGTTACATAAATATTCTATATTGTGCTTCAAAAAGACAATCTTAAATATAGTACTAGAGTGTGGTCGCTTTTTTTATTAATGCCCCTCAGATTGTATTGAGAAAATTCGTTACATCGGGTAGAATAAATATGCTTTGTTTAGATTAAGTTTGTCCCCAACATAATTATAATAATAATACTCTCCTTAATTCATCTCCTGAAGCTGACTGAACTTGTGTGAAGAAGGAATGGCTATTATTATTTGCTGTGGCGCTCCGGGGAGACTTAACGATGATTGATGGTGCTATTTGACTTACAGGTGAGGAAAACCTCACCTACCATCATCGAAACGGTAATTTGTAATCTGCATGCCATATCAACAGAAATTAAATTACTGCTAATATGTCACTCATCAAATCATATAACGTACCATGGAAATAATTAAAAATTCACATGGACTGCTATATGATTCGTAGCAGCATATCTCTTAACCACAAAATTGCCTGTAAGTGAATACCAGTGCTTGAGACTATGCTACTGAGACGACGTACACAGTATAATTGTGACGAGACAATATTCAAATGTATCTGATCTTTTATCTTAAAAATATTGTATTCAATTTTGTTTAAAACTTTTATTATTAAAAAAAATATATATAATTAATGAATATCACTCAATATTTTTATTTAACGATTTTTACATTTATGTGGCAGTGACATTTTGTTGACAGCCTCGAGTGCTTTTTCTGATTTTAGCACATACTTTAATCGAAGTATGTGGATTTTAGAGTTTTGAATATTTATTGAATTTTTCAACAGGGCAGTGATGGAATGTATGAACACCTTGAAAATGTACAATTGCTTCTAAGCCTTTATTTTCAGTCCGATTTTTGTGAAATTTTCAGGAGAACCAATAATAACAAAACTTAGGGTGGAGAAACCTTAAATTTTTTGTAAACCTTTGAAAAGTATATTTATTTCAAAAATTACATTTTCGCGCCATTCTGTATGAAAATTTGCAGCTATTTTTTTTTTTTTTTTTTCTTAAACGTCTCTGTAGAATGCTGCCTTATCGTTGCACAAATTTAAAGCTCTCTTTATTCTTGAGTACGCAATATCGCGAAATATTCCCAGTGCTTTCGCAAGAGGTCCGGTTTGCTCTTAAATGTAAATTATTATTTATTCTTGAAAATATTAGTAGTTTTGTAATTATTTTAAATATACATATGTTACTGTTTTATTAAGGATAATTTCCTGACCGTAGCAGAATTTTATATAAATAAAAATTTCCTTGGTTTCGGAAAAATTTCCATCTTCAATTGCAATCAAAATTTTTATTTTATTTTAACTTTTTTTATTTATTTTGACTGCAATCGAAGATGGAAATTTTTCCGAAACATATGTAGTGCTGTGCTAAACGATAGAAAATAAAAACAAGACCGAATAAACCAAGGAAATTTTTATTTATATAAAAGTTACTGTTTTAATACTTATTATTCTCCCCTCCCCTTTTTAAAAACAGTTATGAAATATTTCGAGTATTTGTGAAGCCTCGGCGTTTTTACCCCTAAGAACTAGAAGAGCCTATTACTAGTTGCCAAAGCAGCACGACTATGCTATTAAGGGATTTTAATTTCGTTTTATTTTTTTTGCCACTGGTGAATTGATGTTCCTTCTATATTCCAGGACCCTTTGGCTGGTGACAGTGCTGCCTTAATCTCTTAATCTTAATAGACATGCTGTAGACATTTTAATTCCACTTGTAACTACTTTGCAGCTTTATGTTGATAAAAACATACCCTCTGGAACAGAATACTACTATGATTTCCGTAATGCAGAGTTCTCAGCTATACACCAGTGTCTGGACGCAATTGAGTAGAATGGCCTTATTCATGGTAAAGGACTTTCCGATATGGTGTGTATATTCTACGATGTAATGTTTTCAGTGATAGAACAATTTGTTCCAGTGAAAAAATCGGTAAAAGTTCATTTCCTTGTTGGTATTCTCCGCAGCTTAGACAGTTGTTACGCGATAAAAAGTTAGCCCATAAAACTTATAAATGTTCTAAGTCTCCTGAACATTACAATTATTTCAGTCAACTTAGAGCTCAATGCAAAATGTTATCAAAAGAGTGTTATATGCTAATTATGTAAGCCGTACTGAGAATTCAGTTGTAAAAAATGTTAAAGCGTTCTGGAAACTTGTAAAAAATAAGAGAGAAAATAATTCTTTACCTGACTCAATGACATTAAACGATGCAGTGGCTTCCTGCGGTAATGACATTGCCAATCTATTTGCTAGTCACTTTTCTTCTGTATACACGAACCAAACGCTAAATTTAAATGAAAGTGAAATCCAATCTGATGCGTATCTTCTTATTTTATCCAAATTTCCAAGATCTATGTTAAGCTGTCAACACTTGACACTAATAAAGGGTCAGGTCCCGATGGGATTCCACCCATTTTCCTCAAAAAATTTAATTTTGCATTATCTAGGCCATTTTTTCATATCTTTAACAAATCACTGAGCACAAGTGAATTTCCTGACTTATGTTACTCCCATTTACAAATCGGGTAACAAATCTAATGTAATAAATTATCGCCCCATTTCCATCCTAAGTACAATCCCAAAAATCTTTGAAAGAATAATAACTGATTTTCTAACTCACGACTGCTCCAATATCTTAAATTCCCAACAATTTGGTTTTTCGCCAGGCAAATCTGCTGAACTAAGCTTATTAACATATGTTAACTTTCTGTCTGAAGCTTTGGAGAAGGGTCTACAGGTAGATTCTGTATATACAGACTTTTCCAAGGCCTAGGTGAACCATGATCTTCTCGTTCATAAGCTAAATTTATATGGTATTGATGGGATTGTCTTACAGTGGCTCGGTAGTTATCTAACAAATAGGACTCAACAGGTTCGAGTAAATCATCATTAGTCTCAGTAACTTCGGGTGTCTCTCAAAGGTCTCACTTAGGACCGCTACTATTCAACCTGTTTATTAATGACATCACAACTTGCTTTCCTAACACTAAAGCTCTATTGTTTGCAGATGACTTGAAATGCTTCAAGATCATTCATGATTATGCCGACACTCAGATTTTGCAGTCGGATTTAAATAAACTAGAAAGTTAGTGCTCTAGTAATGGCATGGATCTAAATATGTACTAACAAATGTCACATTATCCGATTTTGTCGCAGCCATAATTTAATAACTTACAATTGAAGGGGTAAGTGGATTAAGGGGTTATGTAACAATTTTAATCCTCTTTTTTTTGTTGATGAAAAATTAATTAAGTTCATGTGTGTCTTGCCTTGGTCTGGTCTTGTGCCTCTTAATTAGTTTATAATCACTCTTATCAACTCACAGAAACGCATTTTAAAGAAATTTTTCACTAAAAATGCCAATGAATCTAATTAAATAGTTAATTGCTCAAAAATTATTTTTTATAACATAACCCCTTCATCCACTTATCCCTTCAATTATAGTTTAATTCAACATGTTTTGGACCCTGTCGATCAAATCAAGGATCTAGGGATCACCTTTGACTCTTCCGTGGGCTTTAATGGCCATATCACTGCTACAGTTCAAAAATCAATGAAAATGCTGGGCTTTGTCAAGAGGACAACTCATGACTTCACTAATATAAACACAATTAAAATGATATACTTCTCATAATTTTCTTAGATACATATCATTTAAGTTTAACATTTACTACAATTTTATGCGGAATTGCAACAATATTTAAGAATACCTTCTCTGGAAGTTCGTAGGAAACGAAAAGATCTTACCATACTGTCCAATATTATCAATGGCAGGTGTAATTGGCTCGACTTCCTTTCCAGAATTAATCTTTTTGTGCCGTCACGCACTACTAGACAAATTCAAACATTCCATGTACCTTTTCCCCGTTACAATTATGCGTTTAATACTTTTATTCCTAGAACACTTAGAGTAGCTAACTCTCTTCATGATATTCAATTTTTTGACAATTCTGTTCAAGGATTTAAGAACCACTTACACTGAATATTTGAACGTCTCAAGCAATTCTACCTTTTCATTTATACACATTATAATTTAATTGCTGTTCTGTACATTAATGTCCACTGTTTTATCTAACCATTTTATTCTATATTTTACTTAATTTTTATGATATCACTATTCTATTTTATTGTATTTTTTATTTTATATTGTATTTTATTGTATGTAAACTGAATTGAGATTTGCCCGTAAATAAATAAATAGTATATTGACAACAGTAGCTAAAGACTTATCAGTTGTTAGGTTGTTACAAATGGGTCTTTACGACTAGTTGGTTGTTACATTTGGTGACCACGGCGGTCTTTTAGACTAACTGATTGTACACGTTCACGTTTCTCAGGGGAAGCCCAGCCTCTCGTACTCGGCGCCTATGGTAGATATACATTTCAAAATAAAAACATTTAGCATTTACAACGATCTGTATTAAAAGGGGGGTTAAAAGTAAGAAATGACTGAATCGATAAACATTTTGCATGTATAAATTTGTCACTGATTACTGTTCTAAAAGAGTATTCTATACCTTTATACAGACTGTACAGAAAAGTAGACTGTCATCCATTTAAGAGTTATGTCTCAGGAAGATCCCATTTGTATATTAATGTGTTTAAAGTTATTTTATTGTTTTTAATAGGTTTTTTGTTTCATAAAAAAAGTAGTCAGTTATAAATAGGTATTCTTTCGACCCATAGAAAAGGGATCGTGACAATACCAATGTAAAAAAATACTTGTGGCACTCGGGGACTGCCGCGGTAAAGCTATTGCATAGCATTTTTTATCAACTTATGCAATTATAATTATTTATTTATGCAGTATTTTTTTTCTTTGATATTAATTCAAATTTTTTCGTTGATATTAATTCAAGTTACACGTTTTGAGCGTGGTGACCGATAAGAAAACAATTTTTTTTCTTTTATTGATTAAATGAGAAGTTAATATTGTTTAAAATATTTTTATTATCTTACAATACATGTAGGTTATTCAGGAATGTTTATCATTGAAACTATAGGTTTATGGTAACTGAAATAAGAAACATAAGTTTTAGACTTGATATTTTCTAAATATCTGGAAAATACCGCGTCAATGGTGGTCCCATATTTTGTTGTGGATTCTTGTGGATCATTATTCATTTTCAAATTCAATTTTTCCGAAATTGTGTCTAAAAGAGATAGAATCAGCAGCTAGTTTACACACATACGTCTAGTCGCACGCACATAAACGCCGTGCCGAAGTCTGCCGAACTGAAACGACGTTAGACGATGCACGGCCTTCAACGCCGCACCGCTCGGAGTGTTAGGTTTATTTTCGTTATGGAATTTCTGTTTCGATTTTCTTTTATTGAATAAATGAGAAGTTAGTATTGTTTAACGACGCACCGCTGTGCCGGTCGGAGTGGGGGGTGTTAGGTTTTTTTTTCGTTACGGTCGTTACGGAATTTCTTGATTCGGTCGCCGCACTCAAAGCCCGCGATAAAAGATATGCAATAGCTTAATAATAATAAATGGTAATTTTGGGCCTTATATTTTTATTTACTCTTTGTGTATTTTTTATCAATGAGACTAGAATAACAAATCGTAATCCAACACTTAAAAATACTAACATTTTTTCTTCAATTTGAGCTATTTTCTTCTATACAGAACGTCTTTTTTGAATACCTACCTTATGAAGAAAATTGTTTTTTTTTTATTCAGTTTTAATTCAGAAGACCTATTAAACGTGTATAAGTTATAAAAATCAAAATGTGAACATTAAATAATTGTGTTAGACCCTACCCCTTTCCCAATCTGGTTTATAATGCTGACAAAACATTATAAGTATTGTTTAGATAGTATGTATATGGCCGCATTTACGAGTAACATCGCAATAGTTGACTTACCATAGAACAAACACATTTATTAAATTTAGTCAGCCTTGAGAATAAAAAACTCCTGTTCCTGTATTGAAAAGGATGGCTTGTGAAAAATAAAGTATAGAGGGAAAGGAATTAAAATAACTTGTAATATGGAGTAAGCAGATGAAAATGGTTATTAGCTTAGTTTAAATCTTCAGAAATTAACAGGTTTTTTATATTGAACATAATAAATACAGACAGCAAGACCCATTTATTAGAACATATAACGCTAGTAAACATTTCCACTATTTTATTCCAAAGCAAAAATATATAAAACTCGATATTTACATAACAATACATTTATATAATAACATATACAATTTCACTTAAAATATCACCAAATTGTAAAAAGAATGTAAGAGCCTTCAAACCACAAAGCATCATTTCATAAATATGCCACTGGTTAAGACTAGTTTATAACTAATATCCCCGATAAAATGTTTTACACCTTAAAAAATGTTTTAAAAACAATAGTGAAGTCATACAAACAAGTTGATTTTATAATTCAAATATTGTACGTCTATTGTACCTAAAAATGACTAGGGATGCACCAATTCATTTTTGATTGATTCCGATATACATGGATCCATTAGTGTGAAAAGTTCAACATTTCCGGCACTATTAGAGATAAAAAAATATTTACAGAATTTTGGGCAGTGTTAAACTCCATATTTTAAAATTATTTTCGAATATACAGGGTGTTCAATAACTTCAGCTTGGAACTATCTTGTTTTTTACAAGGATCACCTTCTATTTTATATTTGAATTACCTTCGTTTTCCATTATAACAATACGTCAGTTTAGTGTGATGTCATTTTGGTTCCACTGACATTTAATTCTAACCAAACTTTTAAAAAATACATTAATAAATTTGACATACGTTTTTAACTGTTTTTAGTTTTTTCTAAATATTGTTTACAGGTCATACAAAATGGTTTAAAGGAATGCAATTGGTAAATAAAAGATTGTATATTTGATGCATGTTATCTACTTACTTTAGGAATATATTAATAAAAGTGAAAAATCGATATAATTTAGTTAAACAAATCGCACTCAAAAAATTACTGTCACTTTAATTGTCACTGGAACCATAATTACATCATCACTAAAATAGCGTATTCCAAATAGTAAGGGATTACACAGGGTATTTCACACGTTATAACCAGTTTTATATAAAACTCGTACAATGACTTGTATATTGTAAAAGAAACAATTCATAGAGCAGACATAAGCTTTCGACAGGTAGAGAGGTGGTAAACGTCAAACCCACCCTGTTGGATGACTTCGAGAATTACAGGTTAATGTTTGTTCACCAGTGTCGTATCATAGAATAAAAAAAATACCAAACATTTTACACTATCACCGGCGGAATCGGGCAATCGTATCTACTTAATAGACTAGAAATAATTATTTAAGCAAATCATAATTCTACAAAATTTCAACTGCTATTCACAATTATGCACACATAAAATAATTTTCTACGCCAATGATTCGCGTTCATTTCGGTTAGTTCCGTAACAAAACTGTCAAATCCTGTGTATAAAGTGGGAGAACTGCAAAAAACCTTTCCAACTTATATCCCTGCTCTAATTATTATTTTTTTGCAGTACTTGTTTTTTCATGTTTGTCAAATTTTTTGCTAACGCACTACTTTTTTAATTTCGCAACAAATATGTACAGGGCGAGTCAAAATTCAAATACATAATTTTCTCAATTTTTTTTTATTTTATATCACAATTCAAATGTACTCTAATTATACTTTCAATTGAGTTTAGGATTCTCTATATCTAAAGTTATTAATATTGAAAATTTTAAATTTAAATGACCAAAAGATAATTCAGAAAATAAATTATAAATGATCATTGATTAATTGAAAATATATTTGTTTGTTAATTAGTAATTAGAATTTAACGAGCTCCAATTTATTATCGACAGAATAAGTTTTTGACAAATGCTGATGGGACTTTTATATTCAGTAAAAAAAATACCAATAAGCTAAATTAGTGGTGACGTAATTTTGGTTCCACTGACAATTACAGAGACAGATGTAGTGAGTAGACTTTATTATTACTTATTTTTTTTTGAGTTCGTTTTGTTTACCTATATTATATAGATTTTGAACTTTCCTAAAGTAAGTAGATAACATGCATCAAGTATATAATAGCTTAGTTACCAATAATTCTTTTTTTTTCACGATAAAACTAAACAATTTCCTTTTACATTTTTTGTAGTAAACAAAAATAAAAAGGAAGTATGTCTAGTATTAACATTTTCCTATTATTTTATAGCTTAATAGTTCCAAAAATAAATAAAAATTAGTAAAGGTAAAAGTTGGATAAATATTAAAATACATATTATAGGTAGGTATTCATTAATATTTTATTTGTAATATTTTCAAGATTGTATTCATTTAAACATTAAAAATTATTTGGTTACATACCTTTAAACAACTTTGTATAATCAGCAAACAATATTAAAAAAAAAACTAATAACAGTAAAAACCGGCAAGTATAGATTCTGACCGACATTCCATATTAGCCATTTTGAATATCAGCCATCAAATTTGGAGTCAGCAAACCAAAAAACTGTTAACAAATTTCGTGCAAGTTTGAGAATAATTTCCAATTTTCGTCCGCCATTTTGAATTTCTGAAATCAGAGGCTCCAAAAACTTACATATATACCTTTTGAGTGATTTCCACTATGTAGTGGTGCTAAAATTAAGATTATTTTTTGAATTATCTTTTTACTTAAATTTAAAAATCTCTAAAAACTATTAACCATAATAAACTAAAATGAAAAGCGTAATTAGGATGCTTTTGAATGGTGATATACAAAACTGAGAAAATGAATAATCCGTTTAAAACCAAAAGTTTGTTCCAGACTGAAGTTATTGAACACCCTGTATATTTGATATTTGTTTCTAGTAGTGCGAGAGCTATTGGACTTTTTCACACTAATGGATCCTTTTTCATTAGTTAAAATGGAATAAGTCAAATTTACAATCAACCACGTCTCTTATTCTTAAACTGTACTGCAAAATGGCGGACATCCAACATCAATACCGGTGCATCCCTGCAAAAGAATCTTTTAAATTGAGACACGTCAAATTTAACATTTGCTTTCATGACTCCACATACATTAAATAAAATTATCGCCTCCTTGAAAAATACCTATTCGTTATAAATTGAACAATAAAAGGCCAAGTTATAATAAAAACTATCAATTGTGTAGACATTCCATTAAAAAATCCTCTCTTGTGATTCAATGTGTTTGTGCTGCGTGTGCTTTCCAAAGTTGTAACTTTTTTCGTTAACCTTTCAATGTCTCCTCTCAAACTTTGAATGGCTTTGGTGATTTCTTGCGACACATCTACGTTGGTCGAATTTGATTTCGGTTTTGATCTTGAAACGTGAGTTTGACCATGAATGCCGTTAGGTATTGTCTCATTGTTTGATATGTTTAATATTCTTCGAACGTCAGGATTCTAAAAACCAAGATAAACTACTGATATCATATATTTATTGGAGATGGTTGAAAACAAACCAAAGAATAAATTGGAAAAATGAGCTTCCAGTGGGAATTTAATATTCCGTACCAATATCCTAAGAATCTTAGATCCAATTGTGTGATTAGTGCACTCATCTGTTTATAACTAAAAATACAATTTTGCCAGGTTGGCTATAAAATTTTCATATCACCCTAATCCGTCTGTAGTCTGGCAGCCTGCGGCTTATTGTACCACCATTTGAAGGTCCTACTACTTTCCCATTCACACCCTCATTCATTCCACGTCGTCGATGGTTAAACGCTAGTCGGATGAATACCATGGTGACACAGCCCATGGTGGAACCTCCCAGCGGTCACTCATCCACGACGTGACCGGAGAGATCACTGCTTAACTGTTGCGAGTAAGTGGATGCACACTAAGCTTGCGGCTAGCCTCTCCGGTGTTAAAATCACCCTTATATGTAATGTGTAACAATTACAATAAAATTAATTGTCAATGCGATATTTTTCATTGTTCTCTTGGGAGCGATTCCACCGTTGTGTTAAACGGAGATTAAAATGACATTGTTAATGTAAAAATGTCATTTTAAACTTCGTTTAACACAACGGTGGAATGGGTCCTTAGTGAATTAATTAAAAACGCAGTTACTTTCCTTAACGAAATAATGTAATAAGTATATTGTATTATATTGTATACTAAAAAAGGAAAATGTAACCAAGACGTAAAATAAAATAAATTAAGGTCGCTTGTAGTACCTAAAATCAAAGGTAGAGTGTTGAAACTTAATTTCTTTCTCTGCTGTATTTCCTTTGGATATAATTCAATACCTGTTGCGGTATTAGCCAAAGGAGTAGTTGTTTTCTGACGGGAAACGTATAACTTTAACGATGTTATATCTGTTTACATCTGGTTGATAAGAGGTTTCGGCCAAGTGAGAAACAGCAACCCAAACTTTTTAAATTCCTGACATACCTCTCATTGAAATTTTATCTTTAGAACAAATGAACGAAACTGTTAAAAACATTAATTAATTAAATTCTAATTAAAAGTACATGCAACCATATTTTGATAGGCAACTCGGCAAAACTTTATTTCTCCAACAATAATTAACTAAAAAAATTGTATTTTGATTAAAAAATAGATGGATGCAGTAATCATACAGTTGGATCTTGTACTATAAGAGCTATTTGAAAAACTTCCTCAAATTAATTACTAGATCGTAGGAGCATACACTCCTGTGATCTAGTAGTTAGGATTGTTCTTAAGGGATACCAAAAGCGTTGGTTCGATTTCCACAGGGAAGCATTTTTTAATTTTTCCTTTGTTTTGATTTACCTTCTCAATTTAAAATAGTTTTAATCCGTTTACTAATTCTTATTTTTATATACTTATTAAATTAAGTGAATCATCAATGTTTCATAAATGTTACATCCCATATGTGGAAAGAAAACTCAAAATGAAATTTAAATGATGTGGGGCGACTAGTATCGGCCACTATGTGCCACCATCAGGCCTAAAAAGCAGAGTGAAAAGGTGAAAAAATTAATATCTATTAATTTATTAAATAAGGAGAAAAAAATTAAATAATAAACAATACTAATTTGGTTTGTTGAAAGTGAAAAACTTTTTTATTGCAAATGATTCATGTACTCAATTTAAATGTTAAAAAATAACGAAACCAGTTGTTCAGCGTCCATGAAAGGGTGTGAAAGAAGAGTGAGAAAAAATTTAGCTGAAATTTAGGAAAAGTTATAGAAAAAAAGGAATAAATAAAAAAGCGTGTGAGGTAACACAATTTTATAAAATTCTGCTTCAGTATTGTAAAAAACCCGCTTTTTAGGCTTGATGACGACTCATAGTGGCCGAAACTGTCCTATAATTTAAAATATTTTTAAAACGACCTTTGTTTTCATATATCTATTGAATGAAATTTACTCATGTTAACACTTACCTCGATTGTATCAATATATTCATCATCACTGTGATCTGAATCGCTATCAGGTGGCGATGGTAGTGGAGACGATCTCAAACTAGAACTCTTTGAACCGAATCTAATTGGGGAACCTTCTCTAGAGGCTGAAAATCAGATATAAGTACATCAAAATCCATATTGACTTAAAATTCGTTTACAATAACCAATACATTGAGAACACTATTTCACAGACAGCATAAAAGACGTCAATACTTTTTATGTTTATCCTAGAAATATGTATTTCGATATATCCGGTGGCAACGTCAGCGCCAACGTTAACATTTTCATTGATTTTTATATTAATATAGGAATAACTGGAATATTGATGACGTCCTGCTTGATTCAATTCCAATAAATGTTGTAATAATGACGAACTTTCAGATGATTAACATTCAACAACTTTATGAAATAATTAATTTCCAAAAGAAAAAAATTGGTATTGATTTAATTAGGCGTCTTTATCACGTTCTGGGTTATCCTTTATTAAATTTGATTAATTTAAGTTTGGAAAAAGGAACTGTTCCTCAATGTTTTAAAACATCCACCATAGTTCCTATTCCTAAGATGATAAATACAAATAGAATCAATCAACTGAGACCTATAAATATGTTACCATTCTGTGAAAAGGTACTTGAACTGGTTGTGTATAAACAAATTGTGAAGTTTTTAAGTAATAATGATATATTATGCAGTTATCAATCAGGTTTCAGAAACTCGCATTCTTGTGAAACGACTCTGTAGTTAGTTGTGTTTGACATGAAAAAAATATTAGATAAACCAGGAATTGGCATTTGCGCAGTTTTTATAGACCGTCAAAGAGCTTTTGAAACTGTAGATCGCAGAATTATTTTATTAAAATTAAAAAGGTATGGGTTTAATGGTTCTGTATGATTGGTTAGAAAATTATTTATCAAATAGATTTCAAAAAACAAAGATTAATGATAATATATCAGATTTATTATTAAACGATGTAGGCGTTTCCCAGGGCAATGTCTTGAGTCCTTTACTCTTTATTATATATAAATGATTTGGGATATGTACTAAACAAATGTAAAATTCATCTATTCGCTGATGATACATTAATTTATTTGTATGTGAAAGATTTTGGAACAATAATTCAAACTTTAAACTTAGAATTAAAATTATTAACAGAGAAATTTAAAATTAATAAAATAAAAGTGAATGAAATAAAGTCGAAGTCGATGTTTATTGGGAATAATTTTTTGTAATAAGTATTTAGGTTTAAATTTAAATATAGTCATAAATGAAGAAGTCATTGAAAATATTGAAGAAATAAAATACTTTCTAGATAGAGAATTGAAATTTAATAAGCACATTGGTTATATGTCTAAAAAAATTGGTAAGAAAATTGATTTTATGAGAAGAGTATCACTATTTTTATCTAAACTCCTGGACAAAATTAACGCACCACTTTAATTAATCTAAATATTTATAATATAAACACAACATAAAACTATGTTACATTGAAATAATGATGAACACCTAAAAATTAGTCGAATATGACCTTTTTACATGACCTTAATTTGCCTTATTTTTTCCATAAAAATTTGTTCTTGCTGGAAATGCATAAATAAGCTAGCATAACTCCAAATTGAAAAAAGAAAAAAAATCAGTAAAAGAGAATAAATGCATTTGGGTCAACCCTAATTGCATTCATGCGTCGCGGCATGCTTGATATCAAATGTTCAACAAAAGCTTGCAGTATATTCTCCCACTCTTCAATAGCGACCTCTATGAGTTGGTTGTGATTAGATAGTCCCATAGATGTTCTCTAGGATTCATATCCGGACTGTTAGGTGGCCACTCTAATAAAGGAATATTAACATCATGTACGTAACCAATAACATGTCTAGCTACGTGGGGACGAGCGTTGTCTTGCATGAATAAAAAAATTGGGCCCAACAAACGGAGCAAAAGGCATTACATGTTCGACAATAATGTTGTCTAAGTAATTTTGGGCATTCATAGACCTCGTACGTATAGGGACCAACTCCGTATGAGCATCGAAGCAAATTGCTCCCCAAAACATTTTAGAGCCACCACCAAAAGGCACTTTAGGAGAGATATTACAGCTGGCAAGCCTTTCTTCTTGTCTTCGCCAGACACGCTCACGTCCATCTGGAGCTTTAAGGCTAACTGGTTTCATCGGAGAACAGAACCCGTTTCCAATCATTGATGGTCCAATTCTGATGTAGTCTTGCAAAATTTAATCTCTGAACTTTGTGTTCTCTGGTAAGCAAGGGGTTTTTGGCTGGTCTTCTGTTGCTTAATCCCGCTTCATGTAAACGTCTTCTAACCGTTCGAGACGATATAACGATATTTCGAACATCTGCTAATTCATTTTTAAGCAGATTGCTAGTTACTCTCCTGTCTCTAAGAGCACATTGTCGCAAAAAATGATCATCAATTTGATTAGTGCAACGTTTTCGCCCTTATCCGTCTTCGATGGTACGAACCCGTTTCATTATGTCGCCTCACTATGCGACTGATGCTGGAATGATGTCTTCCTAACAAACCAGCAACATATCGCATTGAATATCCTTCATTCAGGAGAGTCGATGCTCGCACTGCCTCCTCCAGTGACAGATTTCTTTGACGGTTCATTTTTTTTTTACTTGATATTCTCCCAAATGAACTTCCAAACATGCATTTAATAAAAACAATTACAATCAACAGCTTGCTTCTAACAGAAACTTTGCTTTAATCAGCACTTTTTAAGAAAATGTTAACACAGTTTTAGTCTAAAACGAATTACTGTCAAAACAAGGTATTACGTGACACTAGCTAGCTTAAAAAACAACTGTCACTGTCAAACAAGGTCCATGGCCTACTTGTCGTACAGTAAGTTAGCAATAAATAAAGATTATCGAGCAAAATATAAAAGGTGCGATAATTTTGTCCAGGAGTTTATATCGACTAGACAAACCATTTATAATACACTGATATTACCTCATTTCTATTACTGTAGTACTGTTATTTATACAGGGTGTTCTAATTTTGATAGGTTACAAATCCTGCAGAATAAGGCAATGCGGATAATTTTGGGATGCAATCGTTTTACTAGTTCGCAGTTAATGTTGGAAGCTTTAAATTGGATAAAAATTGAACATCTGTTTTAAATTCAGATGATGATATTTATATATAAAATTGTTAACAACATGTTACCTGAATACTTAAACTATCAGCTTGTACCAGTTGCAAATATTCACGGGCGTAACACTCAATGGCAAATTCTATAAATTTTTATGTGAATTCAAATAACAAAACCAGTTCCATGAAAAGTTTGTTTCATAAGGGTATAGTTCAGTTTAATATTCTGCCTGATGTCATTAAAGCAAGTTCAAGTGTAAACGTGTTCAAGAAAAAGATGAAGAATCATGTAAAGTTTATACAAACACATGTCATTTTTTGTTTGTTTCGTAAGTATATTATTTAATTTGATATTCAAAAACCCACTGACTTTTCCTAACGAGTTTTTTTTATTCATGTTTGGTTTTTAAATTGCTAAATCTACTTTCTAACCTTATAATGTATCCGTTACTTTCTGTACTTATTATCTTTTGATAAACATTATTCTATTCTAAATATATTTTTTTTCACATTTGCTGATGCAGCGTGTCGTCCATCATCGTAGGTCGCAGTTAGTATTGATATTAAGGATGCTGATTTCGATGCCTATGTTTTATATGAAATTTTACACTGAATAACGTAATTGGACTAATAATAACGAAGATATACGCCTTTATGGCATGAAAGTTACCATTCTCGCCATTGGAGCGCCATCTAGCGGCGGATTTTGAAGCAGTAAGGCAGAAACCCTGTTCTTCATCTACTAATATAGGAATTAATAACACGCAAATTAATGAATTTACCCCTTGTCAAACTAAACATTCGCCAATTTTTATGATATAAGTGTGATAAAGAAATGAGATGAACATTTTAGGATAACCACCCTTCCTCTAGAAATATATTTTTATGATGAGTCAGTCTAATTTTTTTACAACTCTAACCATTAAACCCTTAAACAAGAGCAAGTATGATATATCACTGAAATTCGAGAGAAAAACATGGGGTCGAAATTTGAAAAATTAATGTAATGGGTGGGTTCTAGGGATGATTCGACAAGGAGTTGATTTGAATTAATTTTTTCATCCCATATACACCATTTTTTAATATTTTCCAATAACATATATTAGCTGGCCAAAAATTTATGCGACACCCGGTACAATATACTAAACTGCTGGGTGTGCGATTAGTCTCCTAATGTAGTGTGATATACATATTTTTGAAAAGTATATAGCAATTAAACTTACCCAAAGGTGAATTAGGTTGCGATCTAACTCTTTCCAGAACATCTCCTGCGACTAATTCTAGGTCATCCAAATTGATGGTATCCAATTCATTCGTTGGTGCTTCCAAGAAATTAGCTACTTTGTCAGAATAACTCATGGTTTCTACGATCCTAAAAATGCAATATTTATGTTTCATTCAGTTCATCTCAAAGGATAAATACCACAATTTATTTACAAAAAGTTTTGTATACTATTGCTAAAATAAATTGGCCATAGAAAAGAAAAGATGTCTCGTAGCATTTGAACAATACTTGAAGAGCACACAGCACAAACGATGAAAATTACTTTTTTTAAAAAAATACACGATAAAATAACTGAGAGTCTGTAGTATATGCTAAACTGGTTTATACAATAATAAAGGTCTAGTTACAGAGTTATTTTAAAAACAAAAAATGGTGTACACATCAAAAAGATGAATGTCACGAGCAGAAACGGTTAAAGTTAGTGTGCAACTCGTGTAAAGAAGAATAAGAACAAAGACATGACATATTTCAGATAATAATATCAAATAAATTTTTTTAAAGACATTCATCGTTTTTTCTTTGGACTCGTCAATTAAACTTACGCATGTAATTCATTGACATATTTAGTCATGGCTTCTTGATTTGGCATGTCACCCAGGCGTTTCCAGGCGTCATATTTGGCTCGTCCCACGAGATCCCAAAAAGCAGGACGTGATCCTTGGCAAGGACCATTTGTGGCTTGTTTAAAATATGCGTAAAATCTTAACATCAATTCATTGCTGGGTTGATAGGAGCCTGGAAAATAAAACAAAAATGGATAATAATTATATTTATTCATCCAAAAAATACCAAATATCTATATAATTTACATAAATATGAATGAGATGCGTTAAAAAAATTAACACTAATAACAAAAGATAAAATAAAACAACCGAATTTTAGGCTTTTTTTTAAAGGAAATGCTTTAGTGATTTTAAAAAATGGAATGAATAATAAAATTTCTATATGTTCTATAAATTCTAACAAAAACAAACCACTAAACTCACTAAAAGTAAGTGTACCTTTATTTTTTAAATAGTTTTTTTTTCTACGTATACTATGTTTATGGTGTAAAGGATAACTGAATTTGGTTGATTTTAATCATTTTACACCACATATTATGTAGAAAATGTATTTAAAAAATATATACTTTTAGAGGGTACTTCGTTTTTTTTTGTCACAGTATATGTTATAACTATTTATTTGTAACTTAGAAGTTAAGCTTTGCCGTCTGTCACTTATAGTGACTGATTTAAGTACCCCATTTTCGCATACAAACCTCGAAGAGGGTTGAAAAGTACATCGATGTTGAGCAGAATGAAATTAAATTTACGATAACACATGGAAAATTCGATTTTTCTTGACAGAAATATTTTCCGACTCAAAAATAAACTTATTCGTTCGGGTCATTCAAGCCAATATGTTTTTCGGACTAGTGACGATGTACGTTTTCATACATTCGATGGGATTGTGTGGAAAAATCGGTTACAAGATTACGCCCTTATTTCAACCCTTTAGCCACTGTGTGTTCCGAGGCCTAGTTACATTAGTTAATCATTTAGCGAACACGACTTGCGTGAAAATATGGGCAAAATATCTTTTAATTTATATTAAGGAAAATCCAATTTTCCATATGTTATCCCCAGGAGCCACTTGAAAATTTACTTTTATTCTACTCAAAATCGATGTATTTTTCAACCCTCTTCGAATCTTGTATGCGAAAATAGGCCACCTAAACCTTTTACCCTCTGACGGTCTATTAAAATAAATCCAGAAAACGATCTTTCAATATCCACGGACGTCAAGGGGACATATTTAGGTTTTATTAGGAGTAATTTACTTCTTTATTTTTAAAAGATTCACAACACTACAGGCAGTGCCGAAAACCAGAATTACTATATAAAACAATTGGCGAAAATAAAATATAATGTCCAACGCCTCAACTAGATAGTAATGATCTATTGTTAGTGAATGCTAAAGATCACGAATAGCTAAAGGAATTCTGGATAGTTGCACATGTATATAGGCTAAGTGGTTCAAATAAATTGGAACCATTGACGTTACATACTGTGGACCCGCCCGTACCGTATTGCATTGACGCCAGAGCAGTGCAAGAGAGACGGGCAGCAGAGGATAGAGCCACACCGGGATACATTTGATGTTTGGTTATATATTAACTCGTGCGTTTAAATGCATTTAGGCAAGTCTTCAACTGTTTTAAGAAGGTTTAATTCAATTTAAAGAGTTTTTTTTTCAAAAAGGGACCTAAGTAATGTGTTTTAAATAGTGTATAGATTATTTATTATAATGGTCGAATCATGTTCGGCAATAAATTGTACGGCTAAAAGGGAAAAAGGAGTGAAACTAAAATTTCTTCTAACATATAAATTAAGTCAGGACCATCTCGAGATGTATTTCTCTGCCATACGTAGTAGGGGTGGCTTTTCAAACAACCCGACAGCATATAACTTTGAAAATGCCTACAAAAGACAATTAATTCACAGCGAAATGGCCTCTTCTGATAGTGCTAATTGCCTGGCACAAGATAACACCTCAATTTTAAATGTCACCGCTAAAAATAAATCTGAAAGTGTAACTATGGACCTTTTGCATGAATATGAAGAATTTTCAGATGTGGAAGAGGACACTTTCGTTTATAACTACAAGAATGTTTTAAATTGATCATACATATGTGTGATGTTGTCGGATATATTGCAGGTTTTGTTAGCAGAAAATTAATAAAAATATTAAGCTGCAATGAATGCGCCAGTGTCTTAACATCTCACAACTCTCTTTCTTTATTATTAAATAAAAAAAATCGAGGCGCTCTCTGTAAACCATCGAGGGACGTAGTTACAGTGTGTCTGATCGCTGAGGGTTTAATTAAATAGAAACAAACTTTTCATCACAAAATATTATGATAAGGTTGATATCCTTATCAATAAGGAAACTTAATAATACGTTATTTGTTAGTTTAGAAAATCATTTTAAAGAGGAAGATCCCTTACAGAGCCATTTTTTGCAGTTAATTAAACTTATTTTAAAAACCTATTTTACAATAATTCAACATTCAACTAAGAATAAACCTAGCACAAGAATTAGGCAACATCTCACAAAGACAATTACATTTAGTCACCAATAGTACCTACCTAATAATGAAATGTTATTATTTTTATTTTATTTCATTTTTGTTAAATTAGTTTTTACAATAATTAATAATTTTTATACAGAGACAGTGTTTTTATTATTTACCCACCCATTAGGTACAGTAGAAACAAAAAATAAAAAAAAAAACGAATAAAATCATACTTAATACTTTTTTAAACACCTAATTTTAATGTTAATCTAAGGCAAATATATTTATAATACATTCCTTATTAGTTCTTCAAGACACCAAAAGCAAATTAAATTAAATACTCGAAAATACATGCCCGTTTGTAAAAAATTCTATCTAAATTTCATTTAAACGCGTGGCGTTCTACCCGGACTAACTCCCTCTCTCTCGCGGGCCTCTCTTTCTAATGTTGGATGCAAAGAGCTGTATGTCGCCAGCTGGTATAGGCGCGTCCACAGTATATAACGTCAATGATTGGAACCGAACAGGCTTAGTGAGCATGTGTTCTACCACACGTTTCAGATCTTCAAAACGAGCATAATAGAACTTTCTGCTTGCATCCATTTCCTCAGCAGGCCAGAATAGGTTGTGGCAGTAGTGGTATAATTGGAAAATTTTCATGAACTATTTTTGTCGAAAATACTTCATGCAGAAAGTAACCAATTCCACACGATGTGTAACTTGTGGCACGAGCGAATGCGTCTATTTATACTCCCTTATTATTAGTATTTGTATTAGCATTATGATTAAGCATTAAACTGGACAAAATATTCAAAAAGGGTATTTATACCTTTTTATAATTAATATTATTGCTTATTTTTTAATAATATTTTTCCTAATAAGATATAATTCTGCAGTCAACAAAATGTTGGTTACTGAAAAAATGTGTAAGAGGCCAGTTGTGTTCTTAGAATATTTTTTAAGATATTTGAGTTTTAAACGTGTTTTTATTAATATTTTTTACTAGTTAATTTTATTTAAAAATATTCAAAAATAGGTTTAATTAAGGACATTTTAACGGATTTACGTCTCAAATTTATAACAGATAGAAAGAAGCAGAAATTTGAGACAAATCGGACAGAAAAGTGGCCTTTGCTTCCTCGTATGACGTTTTATTTGTCAACTATTCGGTAAACACTGCTGATACACAAAAATTGTATACAGCGCATGATTTGTACCGAGATATCGTTTTAGAGCCTCCGAGCAATTACTAATAGAGGGAGCGTGAAAACGAGTTTGTAGGCGATTGTTGTGTTAGCAACATCTGTAGAGGAAGTGAGGAAGCGGGCACAAGGGGGAAGGTAAACATCCTTCTTGTTCAGTGGCGTATCATTTATCTATAAAAACACACATTGTCTAAACGTTTTAATTGGAAAAAAAAACTAAAAAAATTTGCTAATTTTACTATTTTTAAAATGAATACCTTCTTATATGTGTCTAATGCAGGAAATGAAACAAAATCACTGTAAAGGTCTAATTTTTTCAATTGAAGAATAAAAACTTTAAATCAATTTTATTATAAATAAATACAGGAGCGACTAGTTTCGGCCTAACAGGAACATCTTCAGGCCTGTAATACAATAATCTTTAATTATTATAATAGGTTGGTCAATTACGAATAACATTAAATAGTATAAACCACAAAAATGGATCCATATTGTAGCGTTACAGCATTATAGAATTAAAGCTGTGAAAATAAAAGAGTAGAGCAAACGTAACTAAAAAAAGAAAATTGAGTACGGAATCTACAAGAGAAGAGGTGAGAATGAGCAATTACGAATGCATTTAAATTGCTCGGGATAACAAATAAAGCTGATAATGTAGTGGTATAGTCCCCGTCAAAGACGGTCTGGATATGTTAAAGAGGACGGCATTTTTTCTGTAAATATGGAGAATGTAAGGATGGAGGGAAGACAAATCTTGCTGGCTCAGGTGTAGATGGCTAGAAAAAGGATCATGTAGATGAAACTTCCAGTAAATATCGTCACTTTCGTCTAATTTTTTATTCTCACTCACCGTTTCGGCTTTATCTCCGAAATTCATTTTTAAAAGGAAATAAAAGTAATTCTTACAAGCATATAATAAAATAACATGAATTCATTATATTTAATAAGCTAATAAACGTTTGTTTCAATGAAAAAAACATGTATGTGAATATAAAAAATATATAAATAGATAAGATTAATAACAAAATCAATTTGAAAATAAAACAGATAATAAAATGAAATAAATTAATACAAGTACAAATAGAAAGTTAATAACATACCTTCTAAAAGTAACACATTTTAAGTAGATAAATGTTTAAAGAGTTTATTCCTGAACATAACTAATCTAACGTTTCCCCCCTTTTTAATATTATGAGGGTTTTTGTAGTTGAAATGAAAATTATAATTTATTTTGGCCCTAAAAAAATTTAAACATAGGTTATCAAAGAGTAAAATACATAATAGAACTTCATAATCTTAAATCGTTATCAAAAATTATTAATGGTAAAACTTCAAATAATAATTAGACTCTTAAACAAATTTCAATTTTTTGTTTTGCAAAAGATTTTTTTGCCTTCTTCGGTTGCCTCTGCCACTTTTCTTTTAGTAGTTTCGAGGAGAATTTTCCTATGGAAACCAGTAGAACCATCAATTGG